CTCGCTTCACAGGTAAGTGACAACCAATCTTGAATCGCTTCTCTCTCTCTCTCTCTCCCCCGCCGTAGCGGTATCTTCAGCGCAGCAGGTAATAACCCAATCTTGTATCTCTCACCTCTCTCTCTCTCTCTCTCTCACTCAACCTTCTTCGTCGTGGTCCTCTGACTGCAGGTGCGCGGCGGCTTCTTCCACCCAAGGTCTGCTATGGCGGACTACCTCCTTCGGTCGCCAACTCAGCTATGGCGCATCGGCCCTGCACACGACGGCGCTCGTGGAACAGCGGGTACCGGCTCCGATACCAGTGCAATCATACTCGACTTATTCACACTTTTCATGCACGTGAACAGCAGAACAACAACTGGCGACATGCGCCCACACAAAACTCAGAGATATGGCTTCCACGTAACGGTTCGCTTCCACTGGCTATGGCGACTGTGCGCCTCAATCAACTCACTGTTCACACTCTGGATCACCCTGGATGTCCCACACGCATCACTCTGAACACTCACACAGTACACACACGCTACACTCTAAGCTWWGCTATGGCAGCTATGGCTGCCGCTACCTATCGCTATGGCTATACTGCTTCCCTCTCGCCCACTTCGTCTTCGGGCCTCCAGCAGACCTCCTTGCACAAGACGCTGAGGCAGCGCTTCCGCATGGCTTCCGCAGGAATGAATGAATGGCTGGACGTAGCCTCTTGATTTATACTTCTGTGCCTCGCTGGTCTGCCTTGTGTCCCCTGGCCCACGGTGCACACAGTCCCAGACGGTACTTGCTTGACTGGACCGGACTGGGTGGACTGGGACTGCTGACTGTACGAGGTGGACGGCCACCACTTGACCACTTGCCTCTGTCTAACGTAGGCTGATTCCGAAAGGCCACTTCTAGAAACCTCTAACCTGGCCTTTCGGTGCTGTAGCAGCTACGACCTTGCCCTTTCAGGTAAGTAGCAGCTACGACCTTGACCCTTCAGGCAGTCTACAGCTACGACCAATGACTTCTACCCGACAGGTCTACAGTTCGAATCCCGGCTACCCCGTATCCTACGAAATCCTACCTACCACTGGCGGTCCTACAGGTCGCAGGTTCAAATTTACGGGTTGACACTGGTACTGTACACAGGTAAGATGGGGAACTAGGGATCGAGCCCTGGGATCTGCATCAGCTACTGCGAACTGGTGAATACCGTTTCAGTAGCAGTGATACATTAGCTTTGCATCATCCTTTGAGCATCAGAGCTTTCGAGTTGCGTTGGTCCATAAGTCTGCCATAACCACCTGCTTGACCAAGGAGGAGGAAGGTGTAGGAGATAGCTATGGTGGACGTAATATTGAGTGGCTGGCAGTAACCGGAGGATTCAGACATTAGTTCCGGTTCTTGAATTGTCACTATTATTATCATTATTAATATTATTGTTGTTATTAGCATGAAATCAATCATGCTCTCCTCTTTCGAGTCAGTTGTTATGGGGTCTATGAAAGCGCTCGCATTCATTGAATTGCTTTGAAGTTATTTTCTGCATACAATCCACCGACTTCCCGAGGTATTGCAATGGTTCTTTGTTTGTATAATAAGAAATAGTGACGATTCCTCCGTTACGAGCCAGTTTTTCTATAAGCGCTCATGCGCCTATGGGGCAAGATTGCATGTGTTTATTAGGGATAATTGAACAAGATTCAAGATTTAAATTTAAAAAAAAAAAAATCAAGCTGGAGAAATGGGCTGCATTCCAAAGCTTCTGCTCAACAAAACTTTTCTTCAAATCCCTACACTTATTAAAATCCCTAAGCGGTGAAATCTCGCATCCAGGCCGTTCGGCCCGACGGTCCGGATGCGCGTGCGATCTTAAAACTTTAAGACTTTAAGATCGCGCGTTGATCTGGGCCGCCGGGCGGCCCGACGGTCCGGATCGACGCGCGATCTTAAAGTTTTAAGATCGTGCGCACATCCGGACTGTCGGGCCGCCCGACGGTCCAGATCAACGTGTGATCTTAAGATTGCGCGAACATCTGGGCCGTCGGCAGGCCAGACGGTCCGGATCGCCATGTGATCATAAGATCGCGGCCAGCAGGCGGCCTTGCCGAGCAACGGCCGTGCCGAGCGATGGCGCTACCAACCTAGCGCTACACTACCGACCTACCGACCTGACGCTACGCTACTGACCTAACGGACACGCTACGCTAGACTACCGACAACGGCCTACGCTAGCGACCTAGTGCTACGCTATCGACCCTCTCTCTCTCTCTCTCTCTCTCCCTCCCTCCCTCCCTCTCCCTCCCTCCCTCTCCCTCCCTCCCTCTCTCCCTCTCTCTCTCCCTCCCTCTCCCTCTCCCTCCCTCCCTCTCTCTCTCTCCCCCCCTCCCTCTCTCTCTCTCTCTCCCTCCCTCTCTCTCTCTCCCTCTTTCTCTCCCTCCCTCCCTC